CTTAATGCTTCATGAAGGCAACAGACTGAAGGCCCCTGAAGGCAAAAAATGTTGACATGATGCTGTTCTTAAACAAAAACATGTAGCTAATTAGCAATATATTTGAGGAAAACATTGTTGTTTTGATTTAAAATCATAATTGCAAATGTTATGTTCGATTATTTGGCAGGTACTCCAGTTAGAGTATTCTTCGACTTGTTTTAAACATTAATGTTCGTGTTTTAAAAGTTATTTTAAGAAATGGAAAAAATTGAGTATCGGTATCGATTTTGATATCGGTATCGACCAAAATTCATGGTATCGGACTGGTATCGTATCGAAACCAAAAAAGCTGGTATCGCCCATCACTACCATTTATTCTCGTAAAATGTTTCCAATATGGCTGACGATAGCAATAAACCGCTGTCCAGTAAATTCCGCTGGCCTTTCCAAATCCCGCTTAAATAACATCGCTCGACATCACATAATATCAATGTTCGACCAGTCCCCGGCCCCGGCCAAAATCATGCACCCCCGGCCCCGGCCAAAGTCATGCCCCCGGTCGACCACTGTCAGACATGTTTCTCTACTCTGGTTTAATGATTGCAATCCCCGAACAAATTACATTCACGATCCAACGTTTCAACACTTCAGTCTAGTGTCTTCGTGCAACCGTGCATGCTGGTATAATATCAGACATGTTTCGATACTCTAGTTTATGTAAATGAATGCAATCCCTGAACAAATTTACATTCACGATCCAACGTTTCAATACCCCATAGATATAATATCAGGCATGTTTTGCCACTCTGCACAAAACAAGGACAATAAAAAGTTCTTGGAACAATTTCTAACAAGTCCGCTGAGTCAACAACCTTGTAAGTTGCCGTGAACGAATAATTTCAACATTAAAATTTTATAGATGTGGTATCACGAGGTTCAACGTCTTCTGCGACAAGTCCAACAACTACGTCGCCCGGTACTGATGTGTTCCCTCAACCGATTGAGGTATGTTCATAAAAAGTTTATGGGTATCATTTTGATCAAGCCTGTAGAGACAAGTTTTCATATTTAAGCTGATTCGTCAGTTTTGCATTGCGCACTTTACTGCGCATATCTAATAACAAATTCTAGCATTAATATGTTGTCGAACTGCAATGTATAAAGTGATAAAGAAAGAGTAAGAGCAAAGAAAGGTGTGTTTCGGGAAATATACCTTTAAAAATGACAGAATTCTGGCTAGCATGTTTAACCCCAGTATGTCGTTGAGAAGGTCCGTGACCCTACTTTTATATTTTTGTTCTTCTATACGTTTTAAATATCGTATCAGAAAATAAAAGAAAAATCATTTCTGCAACTTATAATATTTTACATTTTTCACGCATGCTTCCCAAAATATCATGTCTGAGGAGATGGGAAAATATATCTTTGCACCATGACAATGCACGTCAATGGTTCTTGATTCGCGTGGTTCAAGTGGGATAAAATATTTCATAACTTTTAGCACTGATGAAGATCCGGGAGGAAGAAGTTCAGATTCACTATACTGCTACCTCTCATTGGAGTAGCACGCATTTGATTCGTTAGTCGGGTAGATTAAACGCAGCTGATTGGTTAATCGTGTAGCCGGTAGTGGAAATCATTAAATTTAGTAAATATTGCTACGTGGTGTTTTCCACAAACCAAAACCTAAGTCCTGGTCAAACGGGAATGAGAGTTGACGAGGAGAGTTAAGATTTAAGAATATGGTATACACGAGGCCAACTTTCCTGCAACTTCCAAGGAAAGTTCAGCTTTCCTGTCACAACTTTCAGAGGCATGTTATGTAAAATTTATTCACAGTGAAATTGAACAATTATCTCACATTGAACTCCTCCTACCTTTGTAGGGCCATTGGATGCCTTTCTATGGCCATATTATCCATATTCCAACTAATTCAATTTCTTTCATTACTTAAGAGTATTTCAGAACCATCCTCAGAGATACGAAAAACCAGTTTCATATTATTATGTTATGTAAAATATTAAGTTGCAACAAAATCGCCTCGTGTAACATGTGGATAGTACAAAAACTATTGCACGGCTGAGCGTACAAATCACTATTGCAAAACAAACACGATTGCACGGCTGAATGTTTAAGACTAACCAATCAAAGCACAGATTAAATTTTTTTGTCTGATGGACCAATCGGATTAAAAGCCGGATTTTGGCTTTTTTACACGCGGCCAGACATCCACCCCAGGAATGGAAAATGGCCTGAGACTCGGGTTACCATGTGAATAACTTAAAATTATATAAGTTATAATGTTGGATTTTATTAGTAGATTTAAAAAATTTATCTTTGTGTAGGGAAAATGTAACGACGATGACGATGATGATGATGATGACGATGTTTATGAAATGCCAAACGTATACGATAAACACAATCAAACCAGAACAAAAATCATAGAGGACAATAAAAAAATCGAAGATTTCACTGTTAAAGAAATCGGAATGTTGCTTAGTGATCTAAACCTTAGTCAATATGGAGGAGTATTTGAACGCGAGCAGGTTGACGGGAGAATTCTGAAAGATTTGGAGAAGGAAATGCTACAATCCCATTTTAATATGACCCCATTTCACGCACATAAGTTGAAAAAGGCTGCTATGGAAAATTGGCGACCTACTGTCACTGACCGAAAATGAAATTTATCACAATTCAAGTGGACAAAGGACTGCCCTTGGCCTCAAGTTAAAATTCATTCCAGAAAAGTGGAACAACGATTCGGTCTTTTTCTGATGACCACAATTTTTCAATTTCAACTGTCAAGTGTTATCCTCACCAAAATAGAGTCTTTACTTAGACCTAAAACTTAGTAATTTAAGAAAAAATTGTCTGTAGCCTGCGCGCCGATTCTATAAATTGCTATATGTAGGATCTGCGTACATCTGCGTACATAGTGGATCATTAATTGGATCTCACTCAGTAAAACATTTTAGCAGCAACCCCCCCCCCTTCCCAATCCCCTTCCCAATAATTTATGAAAGCCTTTTGAGTGAAAGCTGAATAATTGCGCAACAGAGCTGTAATAATACTTGTTCAACCATGAAATGGTAGGCTATAAGTTAGTTACAGATCGCTGCATGAAATTTGAAGCAAAAAAGTTTAAAAAACTAAGATTTCAAGCAACAAATGGTGGTCATACGTTGGCAACACTAGCAGCTAATAACATAGCCTGCGAACAGGCTCTCAAGCTGAATTGAGAGCCTGCATCGATCACTAATGAATTTGAATATCTGCGTCTCAAATCGTGACGCGAAATTCTCATTGGTCAGATGCTATAATTTATATTATTCCGCTGAGCTCTATATATGTCAACTGCTAAGCACTATGCATAAAAAACACATTAACTGATCAAATTGGTCTTGGCCATCTTATCTCAAAGCACGAAATGTTCTGTTTTGAGAAAACAGTATTTAAAACATTTAAACTTTTGCTTCGATATCTTATATTTCGAAAAACAGTATAGACTGTACGGTCTAAATTTAGTTTGCATGGTCTAAATTTAGTTTGCACGAAAGTTGTAAACAACACCATATAAGGATAGACATTCCATATTTGGAAAAACGAACGTTACGGGGCAGATATTCAAATTCATTAGTCATCGATGCAGGCTCTCAATTCAGCTTGAGAGCCTGTTCGCAGGCTACTAATAACAGGAAAGCTCGGCCTCATATAGCTTATATTTTATAATCGTATCAGTCGGATATATAAGCATGTTTTTTGTGGGGCTTTTCAGGGTGTTTGCTAGTAGCTCAGCGGTCAAGGTATGCCGCCAGGGCCCGCGCTTCGCGACGTTTTTTGTTCGACTTAGCATTTGTTCTTAAAACTTGTTTCCTCCCAAATTTAAAATTTCTTTGACATTTAGGGGTTTAGGGGTTAGAGTAGAGTAAGGGTTAGGGATGAGTTTATTTAAAAAAATGACTTTAACTGTAAATGCCCGACTGCGGGTCAATGGACCATTTGCATTATAGACTAAATTTGATCGAAACAAGTCTAGACAAAAATTTCATCACAGCTTGAAAGAGCATCACAAAATTAGTAATATTCGAAAGTTTCGTTGCGAAATGTTGTAAAATGCGGATAATATAGCCTTGCGAAACTTGCAATTTTCAGTCATTTTGTATTACAAACGGGAAATTAATGCCCCAACACCCGATTGGGCTGTCAATTTCCCGTGCGTATTACAAAATGACTGAAAAACGGCAAACTTCGCAAGGCTATATTATCCGCATTTTACAACATTTCGCAACGAAACTTTCGAATATTACTAATTTTGTGATTCTCTTTCAAGCCGTGATGAATTTTTTGTCTAGACTTTGTCTATAGATCAAAATTTAGTCTATAATGCAATGGTCCATTTACAGAAGCCAGAGCTTTCCTGTCTACAGCTGCAAGTACTGGCAATCTAATTCGCCCCCTCTCCTCCCTCCCTCCCCAATATTTCGCGAAGTGCCCGCGACTGATATGAACATGATCATGTGCTAGGGTAAATCTTGTTTTATTTTATGATGTACATATCAATATAAATCTGTATGTTAATCTTACATTGTATACACGCGTAATAACGCTCATGCAGGTTGATGCAATATTGATGAAACACGATTGAACAATGCTTTGCTGCCCACATTGTTCACAGTTGTCAACAATATCGAACATTATTATACATTTAATATGTATTCTCGTTTCTAATTGGTCAGAAAGCACCGGCTAATTTTCAGTATTCGGCATTTATTACGTATTTTCCGCCGATAACGTCATCAGCGTCCAATAATTGTTTTTTTTGGATCGAACTTGCATCCAAAAAAAAAAAAAATATTGGACTCTCTCGTGCCCAAACCCTTGTGCGGCCAAAAGCTTGAACCTATAAGCGCGCGAAAAAAACAAACAAACAATGGCCTACAGCAGATTTGCTTTGCTGAATGAAAGTGAACTCTCCAAATTATTGGCAGATAAGGATAGTGAAAGCACGAAAAAAGCCACAAAGGGGTAAATAGAAGTAGAAATAGAATATTTAGCTGACCTTTGACTTTGTACAAGGTGTTTGATATTCAAATTGTACTTTTCCTACCTCATGAACAGGAATCGTTTTATACGTTTCTCATGTCTTTAAATGTATAATAAAACAATTATTGGATTCGGCTTTCGCATGATATCAAGAATTATTCAGACCTCGGTCTATGTTATCCGCCTCAGCTTCGCTTCGGCAGATAACATTCACCTCGGTCTGAATAATCCTTGATATCATGCTCAGCCTCATCCAATAATTGCTTAATGTTGTTACACCCGATTCAGGCTCAACAATATTGTTCAATATTGTTAACAAGTGTGAACAATGTGGGCAGCAAAACATTGTTCAATCCTGTTAAGCAGCGGGCTCGGCGTTTTTTGCCGTGTGTATATGTATATGATTCTCCTAGAGTAGAGTTTTAGTGTTTATTAATGATCTGAGTAGTTTATTAAAACATTTTTGCAAAGGTTTAAAGTGCATATCACATTTGACCCAAAAATTCATGTTAGCATAGCCATAGGTAATAGGATGGTTTCGAGTGCAATTGGAAAAAAAAAACATCTACGGCAGTCTGCGAGTGAGTTTTTCGAAGACGATTTGAAATCTTTGCAAAACTCACGAGTGTTTGTTTTTCCAAACTGGACGAGAAACCATACTATTACTTGTTAAGCCGGTTACAGACGAGCACGTTTTCTATGACAAGTTTTCTATGACAAGTTTTTATGTGACAAGTTTTATTTGCTCGTCTGTACGCGCAACTTTAGCAATTTTTTCTATGACAAGTATACTAGCTTTTGAGCAAGTGCACTTGTCATAGAAAAAATTGTCAAAGTACAAATTTGTTCGTCTGTATGGGTCAACAAAGAAAACTTGTCAAAGTAATCTGAGCATTTGATGTGATTGTCCAGCGCTCGCGTTGTCCGCTGTACTATTACATTGCTGGCCACTAATAAATTGTCAAAGTAAACTTGTGGACACGTTCACACCAGTAAATAAAACTTGTCACATAAAAACGTGTCATAGAAAACTTGTTCGTCTGTAACCGGCTTTAATAATATATATGAAAAAATTGTATAGAAGCAGCAAACTCATGGGAACTTGCATATTCCTCCGGGACCAACTCAACAAAAGCCATGGCGGCCATGTTTTTAGGTGTTCCAGACAAAAGAGTCTAATTAAAAATAAAATTATTTTGAATTGAAACACCAACATGGCGGCTGTGACGTCATGTGCAAACGCTCTATAAAACACGTGCGAAACAAATATTTACTCGCTTGAACAACAACTTTATACAAGTTTTTAACTGTCAAAAGTCAAAACTTAAATCAAAATGAATTTTGTTTTGGCGCTTGCCACGTATTTCTTTTTCGGCAATGACTCGAAAAGTTGCACTCCTCTTAGCCAACAGAATAGAGTTTTTTCACGTACGCACATTATTATAAAGAGACCGAAATATCTCGACAATGAAACGTGGAAATAATAACCTGCAGTTTAATCTATAAAAGAACTTACGCCACGTACAGTTTGAATAGTTCCCTCGTTCAAGACAACAAGCAGTTTTTGGTCATTTACACTTTCAGACTTAAAGACTCACTTCCACTCAAGAAAAATTTCCACGGACAGAAAATTGAAAATTTTCAACAAAATTTTTTTCCGACGGAAAATTTGTGTCGGCCAATCACATTTTATAAAATTTTCTTTCTGCGGAAAATTTTCCTGCGTGGAAATGGGCCTTAAGCCCCGGATCAAATGAGGATGAGAGTTGCCTTGCAGTCACCAGACCTTAGGTGTTCTTAATGCTTTCAATACCAAATTCTGTTTAAGTTAAAACATAGTTGAAACATTCATCAAACTTTTATTTTGTTAGTGCTTGAAATGTCCTCCCTAACAATTTGTGACTACCAACTCTCATCAACTCTTATCCTCGTTTGATCGGGGCTTTATAAGCTTGGTAATGTATGTGTACAGTCATTGAAATATTTTGCGTCTGTGCTCAATAGTATACATGTCAAATATCTGAAGATATAAACTGGAACACTGCGCGTCCTCTAAAGCAAACACGCGTTAAGTTGTCACGAAATTATTCGCCTTTAAGGTGGCTCCCTAGGGTTTTATTTCCGGGGGTTACTCTTCGTATATATGTAAACTAAAACTTGTGTGACTTCGAACGAACGTTGTGTTTTTATATGGAACTCTTTTGAAACAAAAGTGTGAACTTTGCTTTAGTTGAAAGCATAAAAAGAGTTCTAAAACGATACTTGGATGTGATGTTTCAAAAGAAGATAATGTAAACTTGTTTTTTTTCAAGCGGTATTCTGGAAGTTTTTTGAACCGCCGTACGCCAGGTTCGATCGCGAACATTGGGATATGATATAAAGTTTTCTCAAGAATTTGCAGTGTTCTCCACAATCTAGCAGCACATGCGCGAGTGCAATTTTTTGTTGTCTTTTGCAGTAACCAGTGTCAGAATTAATATGAAAAGATCGTTCACAACGATCTGGTACTTTTTTTAGTCTCGTACCACGTAGGTCCGCGGAACTCTTGCTATTCTGCGTATACTTACTTTTTGCTGGTACCACATGACCTTTCCAAGCTCAAGGTATTTAATACCGTAATTAGGTTAAGTCTGTATATGTGTACGTCAAATCGTTGAAATACTAGTCGGATACAACTAAAAATCTTGAATTATTGCACCCTGTCAATCTCGAACCCTGAGCCTGCAATTTTCTGTGGAAGCAATCTTCCGAGGCAAAATCTTAACCAGAGTGTTTAGTTTAGAGTGTATTACAGTTCAACCAGTTAATACGTTTAGTTATAGTGATGGTAACACTGGAATTTTTGTTTCATATTTAAATAGTGATAATGATTTAGTGATGCTTTTCATAATGTGTGGATTTTACTTTTTTTCAGTTTAAATTGATGAAACTCGAAAACATCGCAGTTCGTGGACTGATCGAAATCGGTATGTAAATTATAAATATATTCCCTTTAGCTGATAGGGATTATGGAGCAAATCGCCTGATTCTAAATCGCGTATACACGCACCTTCGGAAAAAATCATACGAAAATCTTTTTTGAAAAATCGCAAAAATAAAAAAGAAACTTAAAAAAAGCAAAAAAAAAAATCACCAAAAAAACATGTTTTTTTGTCTCATACACTTCTTAGGAGTGATGTCCCCCTAGCTCTGTATTTTGCGCTTCGCCGTAATTTACGGGGCAAAGCATTCCAAGTAAAACTGTCATGTAATTATTATAGAGGGCTGTGAAGAGGGCGATTTAATTCAATCTCCTTTTCCCAGCGAAAAGTTTTAATTAAGAGTAACTGCTTTGAAGGTTTGCTGTAACACCTGATGATACAGACGTCGAACGGCCTAAAATTTGACAGTGAATAATTAATATGGTCACACCAATATATGGTGTCATTATGTCGTGTTTAAAACGATTGAAAACGCATTAGTGGTGTGGTAATCTGTATCTTCCAAGTTACGTGGAAGAAATTTGGTCTATCCAGTCTTGGACGTAATATCAGTGCCAAAGCTCGAGCAGCACCCCCTACCACAACTACTTAGATCCATCCCTGATACATGAAACGAACCGCTACTCAGGCTCCAGTTACACGATACCGGATTGACATCAATTTAAGATGTTTTCCAGTCTTGTCTGCTCTTACAACTTTTCATATTTGAAGCTTTTGTTTAATTGTTATATTATCATAATTTTAAGTGTCAAATTCACCTCGAAGCAGTAAAATTTGATGTCGCTCCGATGCGAATCCGGTCATCGTGTAAAGCCTAGTTTCCATTTGGTCGTTAGTTGTCGCTGGCACAACAAGCGGTAGATGTGAAATAGTCTAATATAATAATAGTCTTTTTGTGTGTTATATGCAAATCAGTCTTAATGATTGCAGAGTTTTATAAAGTTTTGTTGACACTCTATTACATCCGCCACTTGTCGTGCCAGCGACAACGAACGACCAAATGGAAACTAGGCTTAACTGGGGCCTCATGCAGTAACTAGTGAGGTGGAATTCAGGGGTCGAAATTCCCGCTATTCCGAATATACTAAAATGCCTGACAGAATAGTAAACTTCATGATCACAGTATTCCGTTTGTATAGTAGAAAAAAATATGATACCAAATATTGACAAGCAAGCTAGGGTGTTCCTCTTGTATAATATATCATTTTATACCGGACTTTGAGCCACTGTTCCACTTCGTACCTAAGTTCTTGTTCGCTTGCAATACTTGCATATTCTAATTTCTTTGCACCAATAAAGTTCGCAAGTTCATTTCAGTGCTTGAACTTTGTTTTTTATTAATAATTTGTTCCTCACCGTGTACAGAGCAATGCACTGTACATGTTTGTTTTACAATTATTCAGTTCACTTTAGGAGTCCCAAGGATGATTTCACGAAAATCAGAACATTAGCGCGGACCCTGCATCAACAGGCTCTCATCAGAAACAGTACATTAAGGAATAGTGGATTTTCAGACGGAATAGTAAATATAAAAATCTACTATTCCGGGCTGTATAGTACAAAAAAATTTTAATTTCGACCCCTGGGAATAAAGAACGTCAATTAGCCTTTCTCACGATGACGAATATCCGCCATTTTTGAGTGGCATCCAATTCTCGTTAACCAATGCAGACAATTAAAACAATATGAAAAACCATTTTTCAAAATAAACTAACCATTTACAAAGCAAATTTACCATCATTCGTCCAAAAAATTATAAAAAGTCGCTGTTATGTGGTCTTATCTCGCAGACTTCGGATGAAATGCTACTCAAAAATGGCGGCGTGAGAAAGGCTAATTGCTTTCATTACATGCATGCAAATTTGGCTATGGGTCTGTCGCTCTAGTGGGTCTACATAATAGTGCGTCTAGTTAGATGAAAACGTTTATTTAAACAGGATTGCCCTAGTCAGCTTGAACTAGACACTGGTATTGATAGGTGCCGTGAGTGTTACAATAAAATTCATACATTTCAAGATTACGTTGAAAAGTTAAAATTCACATGCATGTTCATAGTGCTAAACCTAAAGTCTTTAAAAATTATTATGCAGTAACATTACTATGATTATTATTCATTGTACTGTCTTGTTTTGTTTTTTTATTGGCTAAAAGCCTACAGATAAGTTTATAGGCATTTCTACGTGCCTGCACTATTTTCAACCGAAACAGTAGCTTTATTACAAATTGGCGGGAAATTTTATAAAGTTAATAATGTAACGGATTTTCATTTGTTTTTAATTTTTGTTTGTTTTATATGTTACTGTCACGGAATCAATAATAAAACAATTGCCCAATTCGACTTAACCTCATCCAATAAAACTATGATAACATTAAAGTCATAATAGGAAAGATAGCATAAAAATAATAGGAAATTTCCATAACAGAGAAGTAAGAGAGATCACACCACACATTTGCAAACTACGGTTTATGAAATCAACGCCAGTTTTCATAAGGCAGAGTACAATTTCTAATAGTATAATTCCCTGCAACAGAATCATGAAAACGATTTTGAAATATTGCGATCAACGGGTTAGTAAAGTAGCATACTAAAACTGCAACAACGATAATGTTAGCAAACACATGTCGTTTCCAGTACTTCGAATACACTCGCGTTATGGGAATATTATGCCAATGTATGCGAACAAAAGTAGACAAAAAGTTGAACACAAATTCAATCACTAATCCAATAGCAATTCTCGTTAAAGATGACTTCAGGACAGACCAATCAGAGAGCTGGAAATTTGTAATCGTATATAAAACGATGTAGGATTGGCTCAGAATCAGTGAAATGTTCTCAAAAAGTATATTTTGTATCTCGGTGTCTGCTTTAAGCCGCCTATGATGTGGTGTGTTTCCAGGCAAATGGTGAAGTCTTGTACAGCATGTTCTGTTCAGAAACCTGATAACTCGCGCCCATACTTTCTCACGAATACCGACAGTCGCTGTTTTAAGTAAACTTGATACACCAGATAGAAAAGAGAGCCCGACAAACAGACAGATATTCTTAAAGTCTGATTGCATGATACGATACAAAGTAATGAACATTGCCCGTATGAAATAAACCAACGCAAAGCTTCGTTCTGGCTCGATAATCTCTGAAGTACGCCATAATGCCATATGCCTACATATGGTAGTCGGCACCAATGCTAAGGTCGGTATCAAGATGGCCAATATGAATTTATACAACACATTATAGCGGAGGGAATTAAACCACTTAACAACGGCGTATTTGTAAAACACTGCCATTACCAAGGTGCTCAATACCGGTACTCCAAGAACCGAGAAAATGTGGCGACCTGAATAGGATACAGTTCGGTAATTTTGTCGAATATTGCGCATCACGATTGCAGATTCCCAGAGAGTAGCGACAGCAAATGTTAAGATTGCTGGAACGTCGTGACTTTTGATCGGACGGGTATCATGAATACCATATAGGAGTAAAAAAGTTAAATATAATGTATTAAATAAACCAGCCAGTTGGCCTACTAAGATAGTTGAAGAATAATGACGCTTAAATTCGCTCCAACCAAATAAAACAATCAAAGACAAGGGAAACGAGAGATACAATATCACTTTCTGAAATACTTTGCCAATTAATCTTATTCTTCTAACATCAAATGAAAAAGTGTAGCTTTTATCCTCCCATTCAGAACATAAATCAACTGTTCTCAGATCAAAATATATAAGAGCCATCCCTATAAGTGCCAAAGGCAGTACAGCTAAGGTTATGGTAAAGTTCGCCTTCAAACTTCTAAGTAATGACTGGGTAAAAGTAGGCTTGTTTCGCAGTTCATACCCTAGCTGTACATACTCTGTTTCTGATGGTAGATTATCTTCTTCAAACGAGACGTATTCTCTGTGAATTATATCCTCCCATGTGTAGCGTGTTCGTTGGTTCGATGGACTTGTATTGTCGTTCAGTTCTCGAGAAAGTCGTGGCGGATCCAAAGTTAATGCAGAAAACAATGACAAAAAACAACCGATTATTTCTTCCAACATTGTGAAAACTTGTCAGTTGATTAGCAAGGTTATTAACCAAGTTGCGTCCTTGAAGTAACTTGTTTTGAACAGAGAATAACGTTATTTGTTATACACTCAAAGTGAAACCTTGTTGTGTTTCGAGATGGGGACGTAGCGTTCAATATCAACAATGTTTGTTTGACAGGGAAGTCAAGTAACAACACTTAATAAGTACTTTAAGATTGACGTTTACCGGTTTAAAGGCCGTTTTCCACTAGGCGAATTTTTTCGCGCGACGCGATTTTTATCGCGCGAACAGGTCACGCGATGAATGTTTGCAATCTCCACAGCGAGCGGCCAATAAGCGAGCGCGAACAAGCGACAAAGTAACAAAACAAGTAAACAGGAAATGGCTGCCTTCAATATACGATGGTTTTTAAGGCGCAAAATACTTACTTTGTTGCTTTTAAGAAAGAGAAGGCAGCGCTTAAAATATAGGAAGAGATTCTGGGTAAGGAAAATATACCAAGAACGACAGGCGAAGGGAGAATATCACATTCTTGTGAAGGAATTGATGCTTGGCGACCCAGAATACTTCTTTCGGCTCTTTAGGATGTCGCCCAGCACTTTTGAGCTGCTATTGACCTGGGTCGCTCCTTTAATAACAAAAAAGTCCACCAGAATGCGAGAACCAATTCCTCCAGACGAAAGGCTCTCAGTTACTTTGAGATATCTAGTCACGGGTGATGCTTACACTACAATTGCGGCGAGCTATCGTATAAGTCCTACGACGGTGGGGCGAATTGTGCAGGAAACTTGTGATGCATTGTGGAACGCTCTTTCCGAGCAAGGATTTTTGCGTGTCCCTTGCAATACCAATGACTGGAAAAGCATTGCAAACGATTTTGGACAGATGTGGAATTTCCCTCATGCACTCGGGGCTTTGGATGGAAAGCATGTTGTGATGCAAGCACCAGCACGTTCAGGCTCAATTTTTTTTAACTATAAAAAAACTCACAGTATTGTGTTGCTTGCTGTTTGTAATGCTCGGTATGAATTTACATTGGTAGACATAGGAGACACTGGTAGGCAAGCTGACGGCAGCGTATACACAAACAGTTACCTTGGCCGAGCAATTCAGAATGATTTGCTTAATTTCCCTCAACCAGAGGCCTTGGAAAGTTGCCCAAGCAAACCATTCCCATATGCTTTCTTAGCAGATGATGCTTTTGGTCTTAAACCAAACCTCATGAAACCTTACCCCAACCAGTATTTACCTCTAGATGAGAGAATTTTTAATTATCGACTGTCAAGAGCACGGAGAGTAATTGAAAATGCATTCGGTATTGCAACAACTCGTTTTAGAGTTTTTCGCAGGCCAATCATTGCAACAGAGCAAAAGGTTGTCCTTATCACCAAAGCAGTTGTGGCTCTGCATAATTTTCTAATGAGTCTTACTCTAAGTCAAAGGAGCAACTCATACAATTATTGCCCGGCAAATTATGTGGATCAAGAAAATCCATGTGGTACAACTCCAGGTGAGTGGAGAAACCATGACAGTTCAGATGGCTTAATACCTATTGCTCGAACTGGGTCAAATAATTACTCAAGAACTGCAAAGCAAGTGAGAGACGACTTCAAAGACTATTTCATGAATGAAGGAGCAGTAGACTGGCAATGGGCAACTGTGACAAGAACATAAAATTCTTGAGACAACTGATATTAATGAATTGCATGCAGAGTTATTAAAGTACCTATGTCATGATTTGGGATTTTAAAAATGTTTTATCTTTGGTATATTTTATGAAGAAATGCAATATATCTTTATAAGAAAATATACCATCTTCATAGGATTATCAGCCCTCAAAGTTACCAGATATGACATCAAATCGAGAATTTTATACGCTAACAAAAGAAATCTAATTTGCAATTCCCGGTTTGATGTCATATCCGGTAAATTTGAGGCCTGATAATCCTGTGAAGATGGAATATTTTCTTTTAAAGATATATTGCATTTCTTCATAAAATATACCAATGATTACAAAATATAATAATTTACACAAATCATGACATAGGCTTTAAATTGTTATTTATACTTTGAAAACTGATCTTGAATAATGTTATTGATATTTTATTGAATGAACACTTTGAAAGATTTTATTAAATTATACTTATAACATTTAAATAAAAAATAATCCTGTTAAATAGGTGATAATATGCACTGTTAATACATAATATGTACTGTTACATAAAAACAAAATGAAAGTGGTGATACCTAAACAACATTGTCATCATTGTATTCAATGTCAAACAACAACTGGTTGATTTTAATTTTTGCCAGCCTCTTCTTCTTATTTGGCATCCCTCTCAGAATGGGAACCAGACTCCGACAATATAACAAATCTTCATCATCTTCATCCTCTGCCATCTTTTTGTATGAAGCATCAGTGTCACTCAACTGCTTCAAGAGCATCAGCTCTGCTACATCCCTGTTCATGCGATTTCCACTTCTGTTTGCGGCAAACAATTCTGTGCATGGTGCTGGTCGTTTGCTTGCTCTTGTTGCTTCTTGTGGCGTGTGGGAAGTCGTGGGAAAATCGTCAGTCAGATTTATACTCTGACTAACCGGGGTTGTTGGGGGGAGAGATATCAGAGGATTCAGAGCATTTAGGGTTGCTAAATTGCTCTCTGTGGGCCTGTTACCAACACCGCCATGTAGAAATGCCATTTGCTCGAAGAACCTGCACTGAGGCAAAGATGAAGCAGCCGCCCCAGATCTAGCCTGCTCACAGGCTCTATTATATAGAGCCTGCGACTTTTATTGATATTTTTTCAATACGCCCCCTTTGAGATAATTGAATATCCGGTAAATAGTAGCCAATCAAAGCAAGTTTTGTTAATTAGATTACCAGAGGTTATTAACAACAACAAACAGTTTCTCGCGCAATTTTACGCCTGCATCTTTCACTAGGATTACAAGGTCTAAACTTTAATCTAAAATAATTCATGGTCGTTTTTTCCCTAAAGTGTTCTAATATTTAAAACATAGTCCCGTTTGTATATTGCTGTCTTGTTCGTACATTGCCGTTTTAAATTATGTAACTATACTACAGAGACGTAAATTTTACTCTCTATTAGTTAATGTATTTTATATATTTATATCCAAAATATAACTGTAAGATTTAAGGAAACGTATTTAGGTTTTGAACAAAGTAACAAACACTATTTATTAAAAGTGTCGAACAATAGCAGGCTAAAAAACAACATTAATCATTATTGCGTGAAGTCTGTCATTTGCTCAATAATACAATTAATAAATCAATAAACAATTTGAAAACCCGTGGCCGTGGCATAGATTCTGCCGTGTTTAATAACTACATTTTTTTGTAAAAAGCTCTTGTTGTAATAATATATGTCACTAGTTGAGACTCCCAAAAATAAAGTCTCAAAGAGAGAGCGGACTTCGGTCAAAAAACACGCAAACGACTATTGCAAAATTTCCAGGTGTAAATTCAAATTGGCCAGGTGTTCTAAGAACGACTTTCCTCGACGGCGTCTGTTTTAATAATTTGCCCATTGTCTTCACTCGACTTATGCAAGACCAGATTGTTTAGGCAGAAAGCCTTGGGTTGACAGGGAAGTATTTGGTATGTTTGGAGGCATTTGACAATCAACTGCTTTATACTAGCTGATTCACTGCCTGTGTCTCAACGAACGTTTCGCTGGGCTAACCTTCAACGTTTGAAACCGCATGTAAGTGATGCAAACGCGGTTAGATAAATTGTCAGCCTGAACTAGACTTATTTTACTCTCTCTGCAAAGATCAGCAAGGCATACGTCGAAGTTTTCCCTTGTACTTCTTTGGAAAAGGTTTATTATTATAGCTGACGAAGACAAAGTATATATTACATGTAAACTTTTATCAAATCCCGTTGGAAGTACAGTTAATATTGCTAACTTTCGCTCATCCTTCAACGTTAATTTAAATTGAAAGGTTGATCAAATACATTCAGTTACTTCTTCGAAGAGATAAACAAAGTCATGGTTTTATACGCCACTGATTGAATGCCAGCTTTAAAATTACATTGCGAAATGTCGTACAAGTTAAATATTTGCACGATATTAACTCATGGGGCACTTCTGACCAATGGGAATTTTGCGTACGCTCCGTACGCATAAATCGGCTTTTTACTAATAAAGGTCGCAGGCCGTTCCTCGTGCAGCCTCTGCCTGACAACGGCCTGCGAGCAGGCTAGGTGCAAGTCATATCTCCGGAACTGTTTCCAGAATATGCTTATACCACATCTTGAGCTATATTTTGACAGACGATGGCGATGTAGAACTGGAAGGATCAATCGAGACACAAGCACTGTCCCATAATTTGTACAAGTTTTACACAACGGAGTTTCTAAGTATTTGGAACTCAATGCTCTACGTGTCCATCCATGTTTGTCGACAAAGTTAACAAAATTTGAGACATCAATGTCGATATATTCATTCACAGCCTTATAAAAGAATACTAAGTCTTTGACCTCGCGAACGTACGCAAGAGGGAGCATATCCAGTTGCTGAAGTCTCTCTTTGTAGGATAGTTCACCGGCTTTGACGCGCAAGATCCATCTCGTAGCACGTCTCTGAATCTTCTCAGCCTTTTGCTTCAGTAAGGAACTTGAGACCAAACCTCAGTCGCATAACTTAACTTGTACTTAACCAACGTCAAATAGAGTGTCTTTCGAACACTCCTGTCAATAATTGAAATACATGTTCGCTTTAATAGACCGAGTAATTTGTTAGCCTTTGCACAAATGCAGGTAAGATGTGATTCCCATGACAAATTCTCAGTAATGATCACCCCGAGATCTTTTTCTTCGTTTACTCGAAGTAACTTGGTAGAATCCATACGGTATTGAAAATGAAAATTAAATGGATTGACCTTGCGTGTTATGGACAGAACTTTGCACTTTGACGCATTAAAGTTCATATGTTATTTTGATAACTCCAAGAACTGAGTTCTGTTCCGTTTTGTAACTTCTCACAGTCACTGATAGTTGATAAGTTCCTGTAGAGTTTGGTGTCATCTGCGTAAAATCTTGTATAGATACAATCTGGCACAACATCTGGTAAATCGTTTATGAAGATACAAATAGCATAGGACCCAAAATACTTCCTTGCGGAACGCCTGAATGAACGCCTCAATTCTTAATGTTTAAGTTTAAAAATTGTAAAAACGTTTTACAATTTGTTATGTGAAACGAATTTGCAAGCTTTTTTCGAGGCTCTCTTACATGTTTTTATGTTTTTGCCTGCGCCCAATTCTTCACTCCTGGCGAACAGCCAATTTTGAGATCAGTGAGATGACCACCCTGCATACACCATGCGCCCGTGATATTTGATGAACTTCGGATTTCGCTAGTGCGTTCCTTTCCCCGGGTGTAAATAGCCGGGCGGAATTAGTAGCCTCGCCCCGGGCTAACGCCCGGAACGGCGCTCTGCGCCGTTGGCTCGGGGATGAAATGTTCATGCGAATTTACATTTGTTCAGTGGTTCCTCAACACTTGCTCCCTTCACTACTACCCCTTTAGGTCTGTTTCCTGTTTGGTAATTTTATCACAAATACTTCCTTGGCCTGGAAGTATTCAATCTCATGAAACAAGACAGAAGGCTATTTCCTATTAACTGCTAAAGAACAAGGCTCCTGGGCCAATCAGGGATTTGAGACATATGTATCAAAATGGATTTATTTTCTTCATTTTGACCAGCTAAACCAACAACACTCTGAATCTACAATATTTCTCCATTATTTAAATAGTAACTAGAAAATACATGCATGCAGAAACCCTCGCCTTGCAGACAAAACCATTTATTATTTTCCGAACGTGAAGTATTTTAAGTAGTTGTCAAGGTAACACGATAATTTTTTAGGAATATTTTTACAAATGAAAAATCCCCTATAAATATCACTTTTAATTACAAAGTTATTAATTTCCTAAACATATATATGTTAGGTATGTTATTATACGTAATATAAGCTTGAATTTAAGGTAAAATTCAACCACAAACGCTTCGCAAAACGTTTTAAAATGTTCTTTTACTATAGAACAAAACTGCCTTTATCGATAAACTTTGAGTTCGAAATAAAATGATTCCAAATTCTCCCATGCAAATAACTTTGCTTAGTAATAATAAAAAGTGTAATCAATAAAGAAACACTGAAATAATACGCTGTCTTGTTTCATATTTATACACAACGATCGGCTTTTAAAGTAATTACAGTAGGTATGTTATTATACGTAATATTATAAGCTTCAATTTAAGGTAAAATTCAACCACAAACGCTTCGCAAAACGTTTGAAAGTGTTCTTTTAATATAGAACTAAACTGCCTTTATCAATAAAACTTTGAGTTCGAAATAAAATTATTCCAAATTCTCCCATGTAAATAACTATGCTTAGTATAAAAAAAAGTGTAATCAATAAAGAAACACTGAAATAATACGCTGTCTTGTTTCATATTTTGTATACGCAACGATCGGCTTTTAAAGTAATTACAGCCGAGATTACAGTATATTAAAAGCAAACAATGCATCAATATTTAAAACAAATATAGCAATCCTCTTGCCTTTATTTCATCAAAAATCCTTTGCAATTTACAAAATCTTGCAAAAATGAAATATATTTGCAAGAAATCATCAAATCAATTTCGCTGTCGTCAATCGTCATGGAGCCGTTATAATGCCAATTTTAAATTGGACCAATCAGTGTTAGCTATTCATTACACTCCGCTATATTATCAGATCAGTGAGGATGACCACCCACCGAAACACGCACAGTGACCCACGCCCGCGATATTTGATGAACTTTAGACTTCGCTAATGCTTTCGTTTCCCCGGGTGTAAATAGCCGGGAGGAATTAGTACCCTCGCACGGCGCTTCGCGCCGTCGGCTCGGGGAAAATGCAGATTAAAAATGCAGATGGTACTGCCAACAACACGAGTTGATAAAGATCTTCTATTAATGTAATATAAACTAACACAACAACTACAGGTGCATATTGACTGTTGTACTCTTGATGACTGATGGGCAAAGCTTTATAGCATTTACAATCTTGTGTTGAATTTGTACAACCACGTTCTACTATAGGGTCCAATATTCTATTTAACAGAATTTGAGTAGTAGCGTGCACCCTGCCAATAGAAAACATATTATATGTTGTTGTAAATATATACTGTTATATGTTCAAAGTTAAATAAACAAATAAATTTCCAACTGTTGAGAACAATATTTGGAGCTGTAATATTTAATATAAAAATTTACAAAGGCTTTGTCTCGATCGGCACTAGTGCATCTTCCAGCTTTACAGATATATCATCTTATACATGTATACAACTGAATTAAGCTCATAGACCCATTAAAGAGAATTAAAGAGCTAATTGCAAGAACAAGTAAAATTGTCTGGCATTGGACAAACTAGTATTAATGCAATAGTAGATTAGTAGGGTGCATTTGGGCACATGCGTTGCAGCTTAATTGGTTATTAAAGATCAATACACTGGAAATATCACAGTAAATGCTGTAATTCTTCTGCAATTCCAATCCTTATTGAAGTATTAAAATGTTATTGACATATACTGTATATCTTTTAATAATATGTTGAATTAATGTATTATTTCATATACTTTGACAAAGGTCTATAGGCATCTATCGCAAAGTGCCAAATTATGCCAAAGACAATTATTGCTAAATTGTGAATCCAATAGTAGGTAAATTAGTATAGAATTCACAATAATGGTTGGAATTTATATTTTATTTATTATTCCGTTGCTAAGAAACCGAAATTTCGTATGTTTTTTTATGCAAATTGACGCGGCAAATTCAAACATTCAACGGAATTTAAGACACATGGTTCAAGTATAAACGATCATATTCACTATATTATTTCGGAATTAGTATAGGTAATCATGCGATGGCGAGTACAATTGGGGATTGCCCCGGCGGGGCGTGTCCAATTTGGCAAATTTCCAAACATCACGAGTACAATTAATCCCTAATTGTACGAGCAACATCGCATGATTACTTGTTTATTATTAGCATGACGAAATTGGATACGTACTTCTCAGTGTCAACATCATTATTCTCTCGCCAAAGCCCAGTCCTGCCAGACTTTCAACCAAAATTTGGTGCTTTTATTTGTGTTTTCATTTAGTTTTTTTGTTCAAGCAAAATTTGGGGCTTTTGTTCATATTCTCATCCAGTTTCTGCATGGCAATTTCATTTCAGATTTGTGTTTAAAATACCTTTCCGCCATTTTGTTTGTTTTGGGAAAATCATTAATTGTACTGCAGTACAATTAATGAAATAATTGTACTCCTCTCAACCAATCAGCATGCAGTAATTTTGTCATGCTAATAATAAAAGTGCTAAATAGCGTCAAACATGAAACTATTCTTACCTGTGAGATCTGAAAAACACTTTACGAACTTTCCAATGTTCTTTAAGAATTTTCCAATGTCTTTTCCATCGTATGGGTTAAAAATAAGGGAATGTAAGAGTATTTTGAAACGACGCTATCCCATGAAGCTTCGCGCCCTTACACGTAAATTAGGCACTAGGCTTCCAGTCAATGCGGGAACAATTGCTTCTAAAGAAAATCATATCTTATATAAATTATATTATATAAGAAAATTTTAAAACATTTTATTTCAAGAAAACAAATGTAATCTATTCTAAAAATAAGTATCTTATTAAGTTATTTCAAGAAGAAGATTCAAGAATTATTTTTCTAAAATCACGATATTTTTTCTTATAATATTATTTTTGCCGTGTACAGTTTACTGTAATTTTTTGGGACACAATAACATTGTTAAAGTATAAATAATAAATTAGGCTTAAGTCAATAGGTTTATAACATTCTATGATATACTCTATAGAATATCCTATACTATTTCATTAGACAATATTATATAGAATATGCTATTGGATGTTTCATATGAATGTGCAATAGAATATTCCATAGGATCTGGAAGTTCTATAGAATATGGCGATAAAATATTCTATAGGATCGAAAGTTGTATAGAATATTCTATAGGATATGGAATATTCTATACCATATTCTATAGGATTCTACAGAACATTTTCGTAAGGGAAGTTAATTAATGTTCATATTTAATAGCTTTTTAATATTGCATATTCTTGCATATTTTACAAATTTGTAGTGCTATTCGAAACATGCCAGGCACAAGTACGTGGCATATCAGAGCATAACTTATCAGGGCATTTAGGACAATTGGTCTGAGCTAAATTATTTGACTATGACCTACAATCAGTGACAAAAAGTTTTTGGACAGTGATATAATATATACATATCTCCGCATTTCCAAATACTGTTCAGCATAAAGCCACTATCCCTCCCTCCCCCACCCTAAACAATGTTGGGTGGCTGGCAAGGAACATTTTGCGCAGGTATTTCCACACACAGCATTGAGCGGGTTGATTATGTTGTAAACGTACGCTGTTTAGCTATTTTGTCCAAAGTGTTTTGTCACTGATTGTCCGAAACGGTATTTTAAGCCAAATTAAAATTTCAGTTATTGAAGTTAGAATTACTTGTATTTTATAGTATTACCAATGGTGTTTACAAATATAATAGATACCGTATTTTGGCGAGCGTAAACATGGTTAATTTGCACATACATTGTATGTTATTATTCTAGTTTAATCATAATGCTTCCATGCACGTTTCCAGAACCAGTCCAACATTTGGAATTTCGTAGTTTGGAACTGCAAGCGAAAGTAGTAGAGCAATCTGGAATTTAGGGCAGGTAAACACGTTTGAAAGCAAATGCAATTATCTTTAAGTGCTTATTACGCTACTTTTGTGGAGAATGTAACGTCATCGGTAACATCCGGATTAATCTCAAAGCTGTAGTATTACAAAGCGCACAGTATACATGCTATAAACAAGAGCTAGTTATATAGAAACAAAAGTAATAATGGCATATAAAAAAACTATTTCAGATGCAACGCGAACGTATGTGCTATTTCTTGGTAAAGAGAAACGATATTCCTGCAGAGCTATTGCTAAAAAACCAAGAATATCTAAAGCGAAATTAATAAGAACAATAAAAACTCTGCGTGATAAAGACCCATATTTTACTGTTAAGCGCTTGGTTGCGCACAGCGGACTGCTGTCACATGATATTTCGTATCGGACATTTTATCGTGAGGTGAAAGCAGCTGGATTTGATTATCTACCTTCGCGTAAAAAGTGAGTTTTAACAAGCCGTGATCGCACGAAAAGAAAGTCGTTTGCGCAACAATGCAAGAAGATCCTTTCCACAAAGCCCGGATTCTTCTCGCGAAATATTGCCTTCTATTTAGACGGGATTTCTTTTGTTTATAAGACACAGCCTCTTAGTGACGCTTTAGCCCCTAGAGGGCGTGTCTGGAGAAGAAAGAGCGAGGGTTTACAATTGACGGCAAAAGGATCTAAAACGGCTTCGCTTACTGGTCGCAATTTCTCACAACATTGGGGTTGTATTGGTATGAGAAAATGACCAGTACCTATTTCGCTGAGTTCGTAAAAAAAAAATTTCCAGCACTACTATCGCGCAAGCGTGGAAGAAAACGGTTCATAATGGACAACGACCCGTCTCAGCGAAGCCTAGCAGCTAAGACAGCTATAAAGGAACAGGGATGCGAGTTATTGTGTATCCCAGCAAGATCTCCAGACTTAAATCCAATAGAAAACATGTTTCACATAGTTAAGAAGCAGCTTGATGCTCAAGTTAGAGACTCACAGATTGTGCGTGAGACATGGGAACAATTTAAGACTAGAGTTATAAAAACTATATATAATGTTTCTGTAGATTATGTAAATAATATTATCACAAGCATGCCTAAGCGAATACACGCTGTATTGCAGGCTGACGGCTTTAGAACAAAATACTGACAAAGTTACTATGACAACGGATTGTACATCGTATGTCCGTATCAACGAATCCCACACATGTTCGCGTAATAATTTCCATATTTTCTCACATGTACATGATCGTTGTTGGGAATTTAAACACACAGTTGCGTGCGTAACGAACACATTAATACTTTGGCTTCAAATACGCGTGCGTTTCGTTATAAAAGACAGAGAAAATGGGTTAAAAGTCGACGAATCCCACTTTTCTATTTACTAATTATGATCTCATATTTCAACTTACTATAAATAGTGGGAATCGTTCGACGAAAGTCGGAATTTCATGGAATCAAATTGATTTCGCTCGAAGTTAACCACATAATCAATTCCTTTGACATATTTACAATAAGCTAAGAGAGAAAAACAGCAAGAATTGTTGAACTTAATTCCCTTTTCTACATAAAATGTGACTGGGATTCGTGTGGGATTCGTTGATGCGTCATAAGCCACTTATAGTTAGGGATGACCAGAATACATATTTGTTAACACCTTAATTTAATTAATGGGTGCCAAGGCTGGAAAAAACTTGATAAAAAATCTAACCAACAGGATTCTGAATACATTTGAGACCGCCTAACAGATTTTTGGGGCAGTTTTAATTTTTAACCTACATAACCTGGTTTTGGAACTGTCGCTCAGGAGCAACATTGACCTTTACAGTATAAAATAGAAATGAAAAAACTTAGAACATACAATATGCAAAATGTTTTGAATAACATAGTAACAATTGGATTTAATATGAATATATATTATATTATCTACCTCCTCCACAGGCGGTTCATTACATAGACGTGGGCAAGGAAATTTACGGATTGCATGGCGCGCCGCAGGTGGGAAAAGTAATGCAGGTAACCGAATATATCTAAATTGATTTTCCCACATTATTTTTCCCTAAAACTCTCGTCCTGCGTCTAAATAATTAAACGCCTGTGGAGGAGGTAGATATATTATGAGTAATTTTTATTAACTAGATATATAAAGGATACAAAATCGTGCAAATGTCTCATCCTTCACAAAGAACTAGTCAAATTGTCAATGTTCAAGCAAGTCTATTTGCGGTGATATGAGGCAAAGCAGTTTTTAGGGGTTTTTTTCACAGACTAAGCACAAATATACTTTGCACCTGGAGCAGGACCAAAAACTGTAACCAGTCGGACAGTTTCTGCACTGTCCCTTCTTCTCTAGGCACATTGGCATGTGGCCAACATTGTCGAATCGAACATCAATCATACTCAATCAAGTTTTATTTCATCAGATGTTGTGTTATTGTCCACAAAGTGAAGTGTTAGATGAATTAGCTTGAATGGGTTAAATAGAATTGACCATACCGAAATCTGACCTCCAATAGTTGTCAATCTTTGGAAGTCGGACAATTCCCATCAAATAATAAATACCAACGTAGGCTGTCATCTCTGTTTTGGTAAAATTTGGACATGAGCCTGTCTTTTCGGTTGCATGCTTGTTGGATTCTTCCACTAAATTGTCAATAATGTAATCAGTCAAAAACATGTTGACATATTCAACAGGTGTTCTTTCATCGGGCGCTGGTATATTGGGTTCTGGAATAAACAGGGGTAGCGGACGTGGTAGAAATGGTTGCCACTTTTCAAACTTATACTTTGACTCGCTTTTCTTTCGACAGGCCAGAGGTACATTATCATCATTGTCATCATCATTGTTATCATTGCCATCACCACTAACAATTCCATCGTCGTCACCATCCTTACCACCACTAATGCCTGAATCATCACCATAATCGCCACGACAACCACCTTGAACATTATCCAACTCCCAATCGTCATCACCATCATCATTCAACTCATCTCCAGACGACAAAACATCACATTGGCTATCAGACCCTGTTACTGTATCCAAAATGTCATCAATTTCAACAAAATCCTTTACCTGTTGGAATAAAATATACATTTTGGTAAGAAATGTCACAAAAAATCAAAATATAAACAAAATATGTAATGACAATGGTTTTCTAACATTTTGTTCTCCTAGATTTGTGTGTTTTGCAATAACTTACAGAATACTTATAAGTAAATATCGCTAAAAATGAAATAATAACATAAAAACATACATCACATGTGGTCATATCCATGTTGCACTTTGTATCCAATGTTGCTTGTGAGCAACACATATATTTTGTGGTCTATTTTTCGAGTAATTTTATATATTTCCTGACTTTAAATGAATAAATATTAATTTCGAATAATGCTTGTTGTTTTCTCTAATTAAAAATATCAGGAAATGTGAATACGGTAGAGATTTAAACGAATATTTCTTACCTTACGCGTGCTTCTTGCTTGCTTGTTGAGGCAGCCATTTTGGAAAGATCCTAGAACATGTGATTCATGGCCATGCTGTTTTCTGTAGGGCTGGGAACAAGCTATATATGTTGCTTAGGAGCAACATTGGCTTTGAAATTGTGAAAATTTATATTGGCGACTAGGAAGGGGGTATACATACAATGTTGCTCACAAGCAACAGTGGCTCCTAGAGGGTAAAAAATGTAGCCTACGTTAAATTAAAATACATCATTATAGATCACATGTGGTTCAGCGTATAATATTAACTCAGCAAAGCATCGAGCGCAAGCCGCAATGTTTCTTTGTTCATCACGCGGAATTTGTTTATGAAGCGGAAACATTCGCCATCTTACATTCATCATTTCTGTGTTCACGCGATCAATAGATCCATTGTTAATTAAAATAAGTGGGGCGTCACTCGTTGCAAAGAATGGCGTGTCCCTCTCGAGAACAATATATTCGCTCATCTGATTTTTCGGGGCTGGAAAATGAACCGTGTCACCTTCTAAGACCTGCAAAAACTCGCATCACTGTATAAGGGATGGTTTCCCCAACCCTACATTTTAAGCCATTTATACGTGTATGAATTTATACCTATATCACGCTTAACTGAAATTACTTTATTATGAGCCGACCAGCCAAATAATGGGTAAACACTTGTTCAGGTACTTGGTAAATTTAAACTTTTTAATCAAGGCTGAACATGTAATAAATACTTGATATTTATGATACAATATTCTGCCAGTTGAATACGATCAGTGACAAAATGTTTTTGGACAGTGGTATAATATATACATATCTCCGCATTTCCCAATACTGTTCAGCATAAAGCCACTATCCCTCCCTCCCCCACCCTAAACAATGTTGGGTGGCTGGCAAGGAACATTTTGCGCAGGTATTTCCACACACAACATTGAACGGGGGGGGGGGGGTGCGGGCGGGTCGATTATGTTGTAAACGTACGCTGTTTAGCTATTTTGTCCAAAGTGTTTTGTCACTGATTGTAGTCTTACATGTAACATTTGGAGCAATGAGGTGGCTTTCTAATCTTTATACTGTCTGGTGCTTCTTGTACTATTTCAGTTTTAGATGGAAGTTGTGGGTTCAGTTTAATGACTTTTCATTAAGATGACTCACAACAGCTTCGTAGTTGGTCTCTGGTATTACTTCAAAATCGTCAATGGTGTCATCATCATCATCACCTGCACTATTTCTGTTTGCTTCAGGTGACTCATTATCATCAAGACCCTCAAGTAGTGTTGCATTTGCTGAGGCGGAGAGATTCTTAACTACATTCTTGAGGTGATCCTGGCAGATAGAACAGTGCTGACAACCAGCTAAGCACTCATTGTGAAATGAATGCCAGCAACCTTCGAATATCTGCCATGGTTCTTCTCCAGTCAACGCACAATTGGAAGCATCACATCTCCTTTGGACATCTGGTTTCCGGTCGCACTGAAACGCAAGGGGAAGAAAATAACTCTTCACCACTGTTTCACCAAAGAGAGATGGCATGATATACTTCTTACAATCTTTGCGCTGACCCTTCTCTCTGGGTAGATGGATTGTAGATATCATCAGGATTATTAGCTATGCTGGTAAAGATATCAACAAGAACATGTGCAACTTGTGAGTGTAAATACTCCGGTTTAACTCTACTAAAAATAAAGTTCTTGGGTGGTGTAAATATTTCTCTAAAATTATGTTGACGCATGCTTGTGCCAAATACAACTTTAATTGTTTCTTTTGGTGCATGCTCGTCAGTTGCTGAGTCAGTTGTGTGTCTCCTGATAACTGAGTGAACATTTTCAACGGTTGACTCATCTATGATGTTCAAATGGTTAGCAAAGGTATCAAATATATCCTGGGCGAGGTAATTGCTTTCCCAGAATTTCACAAAAGAAAGCCATATTAACAATACTTTGTTGTAGTGATGTCTGCGAAAAGAATACATCATTATCCATATTCCAATGATGGAACTGAAATACGCCTTAAAATTGTTAGTCTTCAACAATATAGTGTATGACGCTAAGATTAGTGGACAGTAATTATCTAGAAAGTTTAGCAAGGTACCATACTGGATATTCTTGCACCTTCGAAAAATGGTCTTAACGTTCGCCTTATAAGGGTCCCCCCCCCCTAAACTATGTAAAGTATAAATTGAATGCGCCATGGTTTGTAATGGTCTGCTAGTTTCTTCCCCTTGAACACAGCGTCGTAGATTTGCTTCAGCAGTGAAATGAAGTTCAATACCAAGTCTTCATCTGAATTTCAAACAATGTGCAAGGGGCCGATCATTGGAATGATTGATAGCAATGGCGAAATGAGTGCATTGTTGACTGGTTGAGTGAGATATTGCTTTAAAAGGTCAAAAATAATTTTCCTTGCGTGAAATTGACTAGGATAATCACCTGGCAAAATAACAACAAATTGTGAACAATATTCCTTTAATTTAGAACAACAAACGACATCTAAAGCTGTTTGATAATTTTTTGTGCTCTTTAAAGGGAGTTTTAAAAAGTCGTTCAGATAAACATTATCAAACTTCCGCAAGTGTCGTACATCAGCTGATGCACAGTAGTCATGCTCTTCCAGGCGTTCACGCTCCATAAGTGGGTCGAAGAATTCAGCTGTTACTTCGGGCGTGCAGGTAGCAAACGTGTTTACAAGATTGGTCATACTGTCGTTAGAAAGAATTAGATTTATCAGTTGATCAATGTTAATTCCATTTTTAGGATGGACTTTATCTGATTTTTTCATGGGAATGGCTTCAATGATTGGGAAGATCTTAAGAATGATTGTACACACGGTATTGGCATTGCTGGTTTGCAAGCTAGTGGGTCTTCGGTTGGTGTGTATTGTTGTGTAGTCACCAATCATTAGTAGTATCAGTTGCCTTTTTTTAGTTGCTATGGCAATTGCTTTGTCAACGGTTAACTTATTGGAAGCTGCATATTCTGTCATTGCCCATCTAAAGATCTACTGGAGCATGCTGTGCCTATTGTTCTCTGGGTGTCTATGCCGTCGTTTGTGCAGTGGGGAAACTCGAGAAAAATGCCATTGTCAACTTGAAAAAAATCACACTTTTGTGACAATCCAAAATAAAGCTGTAGGACTAATGACATATATCGTTTCTTATTTAGATCTTTTCTTTGCTTTCTGTGCCTTGAACTGGTCATGCATGACAAGAAGAGTTGGAATATGTTGGGTGCCCCTGCAAAACTCCTGAAAAGCATTTGAGTTGTATGTAGGAAGGTTTTGTGTGCACTTAAAACATTAAAATGTTTGTAATATGCATTTTGCAGTCGAACAACCTCGTCAAAGTATCTGGACACATGCAAGACAGAGAAAAGAGTATTTACCAATAGTTCTATTGAAGTTAAATAATTTAGGGGCAAATTACCTGGAAAGGACTGGGCTAGCCTAGTTTGCTTAGGCTGAAACAATTAAAATGTGAAATTCTCATTATGGAAATTTCAACTCGCCCAAGAAACCGGACTAGAGTGAGCTAAACTGTTTGGATGAATTGAAATACTAATAGTATACCTGGATTAGCCCGGTTCATGTAATCGGTCATTTACAATGTTCATGTATGACGGGGTATGGTCACATGGCAGAGGGAGGTTACTGTATTCCATAATAATAAAACAAGTTGACATGCCAGGAGCTCTACCTGAGTGCCCTCGCTTCTTAGAAATTTGACACACATACAGTGCTCCACCTCCCCCATTTTTGCCCCTGTCAGAATTTCAGGTATAATTTGCATAGCTTGCTATTGTTGTTAAGAATTTATATGAAATACTAAGATAAAAATTATTATGACAACCTCCAATTTGTTCCACTATATGTTCTACTCCATAAATTCCTATCTCAAGATGCACAATAAATGAGTTGTAAAATTTTAATAAGATATAAAAATGAATGCAAACATGGTTATATTGTTTCACTTACCTGTCACAGCAAGATGTGGGGGGAGGTTTTCGTTTCCGGCTGAAAGTAATACCGACGGTATATAAAAAAAATATGGTATATGTACACTTTCAAATTTCAAGAGAGGAACGACAGGTGGCTTATCAAGTTCAGGTAAACATTTAAAAACATACCTTCTAAATTTATAACGGTAGGCTGTGGTTTGTCAATGGTTTCCGAAGCCAAGTTTGACGCCTCACGGACAGCAGTTACTTTCTCGAGAGTTTTTGACGATTATAGCACGGTTTACAAAAACAAAACCAGACGGGGAAGAGGTCTTCCCACAAACAATGCAAGGCACTTTTGACCGCATACTGAAGTTGTATAAATATTTGTCAAGCAACTCTGAAAAAAGCTGTACAAAACCTACTGAGACTCGGACAAATATTCCCGCCCTTGAAGCATAGTCAAGTACAAGTCAAGCAGGTTGCCAAAAAAGAAATACAACGTTACCTGGATACGTATTGTGGTTGGTCCACATATATGTTGGTCCATATAAAGTCCAATCAGAGGAGTAGTGAGGGCTATAACGGCATGCAACGCGGTCAGGCACGGTTATTTACATATTATCGATTTCTCGCTCTGCGCCTTCATTGTTCGTTCGGCTTTCGTTGTGTTTACACCTCGAGGTTTCAAGAGATTCAGAAAAGATTTATAGAAAAAAAAGTAAAATGGTGAATTCTTGCACTATGCATGGAAAGACATATATTATGTGGAAAGCTTCGTTTTTGGGTAGACACGAGCTTCTGTGTGTTCGCTGTGTGTCAAAACAGCCTTTAATGTTGATTCCGGAAGGATTACCGTGTGATGAAATTGAATGTGGTGAGGTTCATGTTTATAGTTTTTAAAGCGGATAGTTCGAAGAATAGTCCTTTGTCCAGCTGTGGTTAACGGGATAAAAATTGATGAAATTGTTCGCTGACTGCGGTAGTCCTGCACTGGTACAAATTCACTGCTATCTACCAAACCATAAAAGCTTTTGCTGTTCTGAGGTGCTTATATGGTTCAGAGATGGTACTTTTTGGGGTGGTCACTGGTAAGTGTGAAATGCCTAGCACTAACATTTCACAAAAAAATCACCATGCAATAATCATAGTTAAACGTCAATTTGTGGCTTGCAACTTCAGATAAACAGCAGTGGACTTACATTACCTTTTTCCCTAAATCTTTTTTATAGAAACATAATTGGTACTTATTTAAATATTTTCTCACTGCTTTGGTGTAAAATAGTTAACATTTTCTGACCGAAATAATAATTTGAAATGTGCCTACCTCCTGCAAATGGACGTATTTAGCCAACTTCTTCACTTCACTCCGCTGTTTATCGGCAATTTCGTCCACATCCTTCCAAAAATGTAAATCATCTCAGACACAATGATATCAAGAACATTTTAAACAAGTTTTCACTTGGTTTCAAGTAGATGGTAGCTGTTTAACCATCGACAATGTAAAACCTCAACTTTGTACAAATTCGGCGCCATTTTGTCATCCCGTGTCGGTTGTTAACATTTTGGCCTTGTTATTCTTCTATCCGGGCCATTTTGATGCTATAATAGCAAGTTTAACCCTTTGTTAAGGGTATGACTTTGCGTGTGACAATAGGGAACCCAAGCTGAATTAATTAACTTTAGTTGAATATATTGTTGTAGACTAAAAACTGAACTAAAAGTGAACGCTAATTCTAAAATACATCCTAAACGGCACTATTATTTACCGAATACTACTTTTCTAAACTAATAACGCATATTTTTCTACATTTTTTCTACAACACTACTAATCAATAATAATTTGATAATTTATATCTGGCTCTTACCATTCAGATAACACTCAGGGGCGGAGCCTGCCTTTTAATCTGATCGTAGCAATTTCCCTGGAACCGCCTGCGTGACCGGGGGGGGGGGGGGGAGGAAAGCTTGTTCTCCGGAAAAAATTTTTTGATAGGGGCCCCTTAAACATTTTTTTGGCTCCGGGCCCCCACCAAACCTCTCGGCGGCCCTGCAATCACCTTACACTTACTTACATAAGACCACAACTCCAGACTGTAGACCAGGCTGGGCAGGTATCCATGTCGCATGCAAATTTCACACGCGTTCCCTGTTGTATTACAGATTCGGCTGTAGTTCAGGTATCCATGTTCAAGTTTCTACACCAGTAATCAATCAAATCTCCGTCCGGTACATCGTATTCATTTCAGTTACTCCGTAGGTCTTTTACAAGGTGGGGTTTCCGACCCAGAGACCAACCCTCCTCCTTTTTCATCCGGGCTTGGGACCGGCAATGGCGGAGTTAAGGAGCATCTTGCAAGGACGCAATCAGGCAAAATAGCGTCAGTAAGGAACACTGTTCACTGTAGATCATCTTGAAACTGCAGCACGAAGGAAGTTTAGTAAAACAGCAGCACAACGCCAGCTCACAGCAGATAGAAAATGTTCATTGTAAGCAATTTTGAAATCGCAGCACGAATGAGGTTAAGTAAATGTTCACTGTAAATCATCTTCAAATAGCACCACAAAGCACAAAACACGTCACTCTGTTGCAGTTCAAAATTAGACGACGTATTTCCCATTCAGGTTCTTTGTCCACAATTTTGTTCATACGGGCAAGGCACA